CAGGTGGCCAGTCCGCCCCTGGGTAGCATATCATTTTCGCTGAGAAATGAGCAGATCGCCACTGGGCTTTCAACTAAAGACACAACTAAACAAAGACTAGACACAGCCACGCAAAAACTGCGGCATGTGCATGGCTTCCTTCTGCAGGTAACAGGGAGACGCGCTCTGGCGGCGGTCTCGTTCAGGATCCGAACATTTTAATATTTTGCACACTTATTCCTAGTGTGCCACTGGATACAGGTTTTTATAGAAATGGATGAGGACAGAAAGAGAGAGAATATTTGTTCCTGAAACGTTCAGAGTCTCTTTAGAAGAGGGGACACATGTTGATGTAGAAGAGACATGAAGAAGAGGGGACACATGTTGATGTAGAAGAGACATGAAGAAGAGGGGACACATGTTGATGTAGAAGAGACATGGAGAAGAGGGGACACATGTTGATGTAGAAGAGACATGAAGAAGAGGGGACACGTGTTGATGAAGAAGAGACATGAAGAAGAGGGGACACGTGTTGATGAAGAAGAGACATGAAGAAGAGGGGACACATGTTGATGAAGAAGAGACATGGAGAAGAGGGGACACATGTTGATGAAGAAGAGACATGAAGAAGAGGGGACACATGTTGATGTAGAAGAGACCTAAAGAAGAGGGGACACATGTTGATGTAGAAGAGACATGAAGAAGAGGGGACACATGTTGATGTAGAAGAGACATGAAGAAGAGGACTTTGCAGAATAGGTGACAGCACTCACTTTGTTGAGCTGCTGCTCTCGGTCCTGCTCTTCCTCCTCCTCACACCGACTGTTACTCTGAGTGACCGTCACCACGGTGATGGAGGCGGTGGGCGCTGAGGGGAACATCAGCTCCAGATCTGACAAACACACTCAGTTTAGTTTTTAAGGTCATGAAAAACTCAGTGTATGAGATGAGATGTAAATAATGCCTTGCCTTACCTTTCCTCAGCAGCTCGGGGCAGGAGCTGATGGCGCAGTCTGTGTCCGTCTGATGGAAGTACTGCTCAGCTTTGTTCACTCTCGAATCGATACCACCCAAATTCCCCTGAGAAGTAAACACACACATTGAGAAAAAACTACTTTGAAGAACGTATATGAGGAAAGTATGGGATAAGCAATTAGTTTGTTGAACATTGGGATAACGATATTAGTTTAACATCATAAAACAGATAGTGTTTACTGATGAAATGCAACACATTGATAGATAGATAGAGAGATAGAGAGATAGAGAGATAGAGAGATGGATAGATAGAGAGATGGATAGATGGATAGAGAGATAGAGAGATGGAGAGATGGATAGATGGATAGATGGATAGATGGATAGATGGATAGATAGATGGATGGATGGATAGATAGACGGATAGATAGAGAGATAGATAGAGAGATAGAGAGATAGATGGATAGATGGATAGATGGATGGATGGATAGATGGATAGATGGATGGATAGATGGATAGACGGATAGACGGATAGATAGAGAGATAGATAGAGAGATAGAGAGATAGATGGATAGATGGATAGATAATTGATAGAGCAAAATGATAACAAATCAAAATATCCTTCTGGATCTATTGTGCAGGTGTAACTAATGAAAACATTGAAATGATTGTAAAACGTACCTGGAACTCATTTACGAACTGGGCCAGGATGAACTGGTGTCTCTCCGTGCAGCTGGGGGCCGTCAGTACGTCCGGCACCGTCCTGTGGACTGGAGTCTTTAATTTCTTTTGGTGGCCCATGCCCTCCAGGTGGCAGTCGAAGCCAGAGTTACCCGGCAGCTGAAAGCGCTGATCCTGAGGTCCAAACGGTCCCATGCTCTCATCGGGCCACACGGTCCTGGGGCCTGGAGACGGATGTGAGAAACATATTATACAGCATCTGTTTTCTGCTTAATCTTCCCTTAGTTTACTTCCTAAGACCTGGATCTTTAACTGTGTTTGTATTCCTGTTTGAAACGTGATCTCATCACTCTCATAGCTAGAAAATACTATGATTGAAGCTCCCTTCAGATCTAGATCAGGGCATTTTCTGAACTGTAGGCTGTGGTCACATTTTATTATTATTGTGCTGCTGTGTTTATTGTATTTGTGTAACAAGTTCCTTCTGGATGAATAAAGCCTTATCTTATCTTAGGATGAATGCCCTGGCTGTCTCACCTGAGTCTGTGTGTGATGAAGATATGTACGGCTCGTCTGAGCTAGCAGCAGAGAAGGTTCTGGTTCTGCCCACTCGCAGGGCAGCTAGTACTTGATGGCCAGCAGTCTTAGAAAGGACCAGCCGGCCCCGACCACACAGCACCTAAACAACAACAACAACAACAACAACAACAGTCAACAGCCGGAAACATTTGGAGAAATTGTACTTTATAAAACAAGAAATTAAACATAATTTTTATCATAAGAAAATGTATAACAGTGATTAATGTTATGCTTAACTTGCATGCTAGAATGAAAGATAATGTTAACTATTGTTCATATTATTTATATATCTTGTTTACATTACACTATCAAATGGACACTATGCCTGCAGTTACACACATTTACCTGGTGGAAAGTAACTAACTCAATGTACTCAGGTACTGCTTTTACTCCTAACACTTTAAATATAATTTGAATAACAAGTTGAATAACAAGTGAGAAGCTAAGGAGTACATACTACTTCATGCACTATAAAGATTACATTATGGGATAAATAGGTTGTGTTAAATCCTTATATATTCTGTATTTTGTGTCTATGTAATAGCCTATAGCTATAAACAGGGACAGGGGTGAGTTGTTATGTCACTTACACTGCTGGACATCGTGTGTGGTCTTCTGTTTCTCACTTTAAACCTGCTGGATAAAAACAACAACAATAAGAAGAGAAAAAAGAACACCCCATACTGTTGGTTATTAAAGAAAAACAACACACTTTAGCTTGTTAGTTTGCTATCCGAAGTTATTCTAACAATGCTAACATGATGCAATGAATACACGCGTGTTACACGGGGCTAAAAACACATCAATGGTCAGGACTATCATTGCCTAGTTTGTAATAAATAAAAATAGTCAAAACAGTGTTACATGTTATGATTTAAACACAAACCAAACAGCTGTTAGCTCCTCGCGTTAGCACGTTGTCTTGCAGTAAATATGGAAGGTCAGCTGATTCTTATTTTGACACTTTCTCTTTTTTCGACAGTAATCTTCACTTCCCAGATAAATATAAACTTGGTTCAAACACCTGACAACGTGGAAAATAAACCCGTCTATAAATCTGATGGAAAAACTGACAAATAAACACGTTTTAATGGGATAACATTATGATAAGTACATGTTGTTCTTACCTGTTAACTTGCACGTCCGCAGCTATGGCATAACAAGGACGGGAAATGACGAGGGACAAAACAGTCGTATTTCGCGTACTGGTTAAATTGTATAATGTTAGTTATAATGGGGATTAATTAATTAGCTGCATGTTGTGAGACAATATTTATCTGATACTCCAACAGCCTTTTTTGCGCTTGTAAACCAGCCCTACACAAAATATATATACAATATATTATAGCCTGCGTTTTTCCCTTTTCACCACAAGGTGGCAGCCAATAACAGCAGTACTTCCCCTTTGCAATGCAATGTGGCCTTGAAGTAGCCTTCATTTATAATTTAAAGTTTGTTATGTACTTGCCTGCTATATTATTGATTGTTAAACCAGATTGTTTGCAACAAATTATATTGAGTTATTTAGTAAGAAGGCTATTTTCACACTTTTGTTGATTTTTATGGGTTTTTACAAAAGGCCTATTATATAAACCTTCCAGTTTGACTGTAAAACATTCAAAAAGAGGAAGTAAACCCAATTAATACCAAGTGTGTCAGCTGATTGCTCACCTGCATTAATACGGCTGATTAAAAGTGCATTATTAGTACTATCAATCGGGTCTATTTTGACATTTTTCTACCCCAACATGTCTTATTTTTGAACAGTGGATAGAAAAATATCCAAAGTACACATTTAGATGACTTGTTTATCTGTGTATGAAGATGTTTCCTAGATTTTTCCGTACATAACAGATTTCTATTCGTGAACTGTATGCAAATGTCCACATATTTAATAAAATAATGGCTCTTTTTTACCCTATTCACCCTCAGTGTCTCCCCTTAATTTTCTTTAGCGTTACCTTGGCTAACCTCCACATATTGTTCTGAATCAAAGACTGTACTCGACGGTTCCCAGGTGGGAAACTGAGGAAAAAGGGGACACACGCTCAGCAAAAATCCTCCTCCCTTGATGAATAAAGTTTAAAAAGTAGCAAAGAGAAATAGTCGTGGCAGTGTTATCTGCTGTCAGAAGTCGTGAAGGACAAGGACAGCTGTAGTAAAGTACATTCTGCTGGCGTACACACATCTCTTTAGCTGACTTAGACAAGCTGATGGACACTTTCTATGAACAGACAAGATATGCATGTGTGTGTTGCTGTGTGTGTGTGAGTGTGTGTGTGTATGTGTTTGCCACAGAGCTTGGCTGTCAGTGAGTCTCCCACAGGATCATTTGCAACAGCGACGCAGAAGCATCCACCCTATATGGAGCCCCTGTGGGATGGATACATACACACACACAC